TATATATATATATATATATATATATACACTGTTGCATGCATCAAAAACTAAATATGCATATTGTTAAAAATGTATAAAGATATGAACAGAACACTGTGTTCAAAGAAGCTGTGATTAAAGTTTTGCATCAAAAGTTACCCTATGCAATGTGGCAAAATTTTAATGGGAGCAGCTTGAAAACACTGTGCACCAGAATACCACAACAGCTGAAAAAAAATCTCACACCTCACAGTCTCAAGATCACATATAAACCATGTAAAACCATGCCACGTAACAAAAGGCCTGTGCCTACAGATACCGAGTGGCCCATTCAAAAAGAGAAACAATTATGTTCATATCGATTCTGAAGAGAAAAGTTATTTTAAGGTTTAAAATAATAAGAAATTAAGTGTGCTTTATTAACAAAACTTCTTTACTAGTACCACTGCCAATATGCCTTGAATTTCAGAATATTTGTGCATTTCTTCAATGGCTACTGTTCAGTTTGTGGGTTGAGGTGATGCATCAGTGCCTCCTCTAAACCTACGGTGCCTACCCAGAGCAGATGCTGCACGACGGAGAACAAGAAAATGGCAAAGAAAAAGACGAATGTCAAAGATAAGCAAGTGGAGGTTAAGAGAGAAAAACAAACAGAGGAATGCATGAATTACCCTTTGGGGTGTCCTGTAAACTTGTCACACAAGATGGTGACTCTGTTTACGGAACCACAGCCATGGAAATGCGCCTCCAACTCCTCTGCCGTCGCACCATAATCCACCTGCAAAAGACAAACTCAAATCACCACTTCTAACATGTCATTAAATCAAGCATGCTATGAAAAATATTATGGCATGCGACAAACACAATATTATATGCAACATATGAATGTAGTATTAAATTAAACAAAATGCATGCAATATTAAATGCAACAAAATACATATATACAGCTCGTAACCAAGAAGGAGTGAGAATAATCGCCCATACATTTCCAACATAAATAGATCTCCCATCTGCTTCCATCTTCTCTTCAATGGACATAATGACAGGGCCAGCTGCAAAGAGAAAACACAGTATTGCCATGCAACTCTCATCCATCGCCATATGCAAGCATGTGATTTAGCACAGAAACCATTGTCTGCAAGTTTACTGCATAGCTTCACGGCTGAAATCTAGGTTACGTTCGGTTTCTAGTCATATCTCGATTGACCTCAAATGGTCCAGTACTAGTAATTCTTCTCCCTCTAATGCAGTCCTATTCATCAGTCCTGTCTGTTCTGCAGTGCTCTCCTTTGAGCTCAATCTTACCCAGACTTGCCCGTTCACCTCCCTCATTCATTCATTCATTTAGTCTCACTCACCAGGTGGAGGACTGAGATTCATCTGTTTCTCCACCTCGTTCTGTAGCTCCTTCAGTTTCTCTGCCTCCTCCTCCATCTCTCTCACCCGGGCTTTAATTGCCTCCAGCTCCTGAAAAGGCAAAGTAATGCACATATATTAATGTTATCCATCAAAAAGCACAGTATATCAGTCATTTAACAAAACTGGAACTGAACGTTTTGCATAACTACATCCTGAATAAATGATTTTGGTGTCCCTCATCGACAGCCACATTGGATCTATAGTGCATCAATATCATGTGTTGCTGTTAAACCCATTTTGAAACGCACAACCGATTTCTTTCCCAGAATGCACACACACATTAGTTATTCTCACCAATGATCGTGGACACAGCATGCACATGCACTTTCACACGGGATCGTGCACTGAGCTCTTTCAAACCACCATTTATTACTGTCCAGTCAGCAAGACGCCCTAAGCATGATGCCATCCGTGCAGGCGTGCACGCATTGTTGTGCGCGAGAGAACACACTTTTGGTGTGTTCACACGCACGCACACAAGTTTCAGCAGTGCTGCATTGCAGGGCAATGGGAGTCGCACTGGATCGCGAGTAAAGTAACCCAGAATGCATGTGATGGCCTCTTTCACGCAATTAAAACAAGATTTTCCATGATACGAGCAACAGTGACTAAATATTTAAATACTACAGATCCTCACTGCATGATGAAATAAAGCAGACATGCATTCAGCATGCAAATGCATGACCTACTATAGCTCCAATAATGTTAATGTGCATGTAGAGAAACGCACCAGCCCAGCCCTAATGCACCATCCCCATCACAAAATCACCAACAAATGATGCAATACATCACGAGCGGCATTTAATCTTTAACGCAAAAAATCATCACGGTGATACAGATGTGCATTACATACAGTGCGCTTTGCCCACCGACAACTCTGTAGTTTTCCTTAATGTTCCCAATTCGACGCAAAATCTGAAAATAAAACGCATCTCACGCCTCTTTTTACATGTCGCATAACGATTTATTCCATTGCAGAGGCCAACAACAATCACGCGCAGTTAACGTTACCAACGCGACTTACTTTTGCACGGCACAAATATTACTGATCAGAAAAGAGGCGTGTTTACCGTGAGCCGTCTGCTTCTTTGCGGATGGACCCACACTGCTGCGGCTAATGGCGGCCTGTCCTACCCTCGCCCCTGTCTCTCACATCTCCCGTCTCGCATTTTTGCAATGAAGATTTTTCCCCCCGCTAGGTCGACAGATCTGGCGCAGAGGAACCCAGACCGATGTTGCGCCAACATGGCGGCCAACAGTACGCATGTCACTCACTAATTCTACTGCACTGCGTGAGCCACAATGGCGGACAAACCGACCTGGCAAAACCGGTTTCGCGTTAACATGAGTATTTGTATTTCGTATGAAATTCACATATTTCTTTTAAATGTGAAGTTGGGGGGAGTTCTCAAGATGAAAACATATACAAAAAATTAAACTAGTTATTAAAGCGAGTATAATGCGTCCTTCACTCACCGGATCTTCAATAGCGGCCTCTCCCTCGTCTAATCCAGGTTCTTCATCTCCGACGCCTGGGTCTTCAAGTTCTGAGTGTCCCGGGTCTGAGTCCAGCAGAGATTCCTCTGCCAGTCCGTTACCAAACTCCGCCATCGCCTGATTCCCGGTGGTCCGACGCGCCTCGTGGCTGCACTAACAGTTACAGGCCTCGACTCTCACAGGGGGGGAGCGAGAGAGAGGGGCAGGGGAGGGAATAAAAAAAACGGCGGAAAACGCCGCTCACTAAAGTTAAAATGGGGAATAAAAGCCCGCCTCGCTTCTTCTGGAGCTCAAACGTGTCCTTTAGCGGAAAAAAACAACACTATTTATTCAAATATAAATAGGTTTCACTTCGTCAATATGTCGCACTTACTACTCTATTTACATTAGAAGACAAATTCAAAAAAGCAAAGCAAATGTGTATTCTTCGCGAGGGCTCGTGTGTTCCAGAACAGAAATGGAAGCCGTGGGCGGGGATTCTGAGCACTGCAGGCGCACCATCGATGGGTGATTGGACAATTCCTCACTTTAGACACGCCCTCTTAACGTATCGAGGACGGTTATTGGTGTTCTCTTGGGATATTTCTCTGCGCTCGCCACTTAGACTTTACCAACAGCAACTGTGATTGGATAAAAGCAGCGTCAATCACGGTTGACAGGCTACTTTTAGATTGAAACGGTGTTTGTAGAGGATTATAGCTACTATGCAATGTTGCCATGTCCGCACAATATAATTCATTTTGATTTACACACACACACACACACACACACACACATATATATTTAAACGTACTTCCAGAATACAGGGTCATATTTAAGCTTCCTAGTACTTGGCCTAAATAGCACAATAAAGTACTACCAACCCCTTAAAGCAGTTCAATTGTCAAATATCAGGAATTAGATTATATACAGTGTGCTTTATTTATTAATTTCTTTATTTTCTCTCCTTTCATCTCGAGATGTTTGTTTTTGTCTGTTGATAAATATCCCCACCTACTGTCAAGTCCAGTCAAGTCACCTTTATTTATATAGCACTTTATACAATACAGATTGTGTCAAAGCAGCTTTACAGTGTCACACAGGAAAATAGTTTGTCAATAATGCAAGAGGACAATAACAAACACTCAGTTTTTCAGTTAAGGTCAGTTCATTAATGATTCAGTGATGTCTTCATCCAGTTCAGCTTTCTTTCAATAGTGTCTGTGCAGTCAAGACGACAATATTGCCAGAAATTAAGCGTCTCATACTGTTGTATAAGTTGTGTTACATACTGTACAATTTCTAAGAATTGTTTCTCCCTTTTCCGTTCCCCATGTGTGCGCACAAAAGACACATTTAATCATTCATTTTGATGACCAATAATTGTAGATGGCCTATATGCAAATATTTGAATATTCATATTTTATATATATATATATGCTGGAAAAATGGCGCACAAAATATTGACACTTTGGGCCCGATTTGGACATTTTCACTTAGGGGTGTACTCACTTTTGTGGCCAGCGGTTTAGACATTAATGGCTGTGTGTTGAGTTATTTTGAGGGGACAGCATTTACACTGTTATACAAGCTGTACACTCACTACTTTACATTGTAGCAAAGTGTCATTTCTTCAGTGTTGTCACATGAAAATATATAAAATATTTACAAAAATGTGAGGGGTGTACTCACTTCTGTGAGATACTGTATATGTATGAAGAATGTACATATTTAAAGTACATTTTCAAAATGGAATGTACTCTTGTTTAATGTATGATTTATGCAAGAGTCACTTATTTTGGACTGCTTTCAAATGAGATCTGGCAACAATGCAATGCACAGTGGAATTCCTAAATCTTCAATATAACTTCACCCGAGGTCTTAACCACTATGTGACATGAATAGGCCTACTTTTTCAGTATTTTTTATTTTGTCTTCCACATCAAGCAACATTTGAAGCCCACAGTGTTTGGTGACAAAATTTATGTTTAAAATATTGTACTCATTTCTCTGAAAACCCCGACAAAATGGTCCATAATAGTTATATTAATTAGTGCTGCCAACATACAACTTAAACATAAAATATTAATATATCTACATAAATTATAATGGTAATTTACACAATGAAGAGAAACATCAATACATGAACTTCAGTTTATTTGTTTTCTGCATAAGAAAAAAGGAGAACCAACACAAAATGAAGGTACAAGTGAGGGGGAAACAAGCTTAATATTCAAATTTTTCATAAGACTGCCACCATTATCGTTCAATATCTAAGTCTGAGATGCCATTAAAACCGTTATGAATCAATAATAATCAAAAGTGATGAAAGTACTGAAAAATAGTAAGTAGTACAGTTATAACAAGTGATAATCAAGTGTCAATGAAAAAGTGAAAAGATAATATAAAAGCATTTCTCCATATTCTACCTATATACTCTGAACAGTGCAACACCGTGGGATCCCACGTCCTGTAGCACTGCACTACAACCCAGTCCATGTTCATTTCATATGAGCTACAACTTGACACAAAGTTGAACAAAAACAACTTGTATTTGCTGGGATATAGCGAAAACAACATTTTTCTATGAACTTCAAGTGTTCCAAGCGGAGTTGTCTGAAATGCATTTATCTGTAGCTCATGCTTAAACCCTGGACTAGTTCAAAGTGTCAAGGCATGGGAGCTCCATTAGCAGTTTGCATTACGAACACTTCCAATCAAGATTGCTTTTTGGTTTCTTTAATGAGACAAAGCAAGAAGAACAACAACTTTGGAATATCATTTTCTTAATATAGTTCATTAAAAAATCTTTTTTAGTTTTGCATTTTGTTAAAGTATTAATAGTATCAATAATAATATACAAAATAAACCAAAAAGGAAAATCGTCTTTAGTATTTCATGTCCTTCAAATCACACCTCCTGTTGCCCTGATGAGTAGTTTCCAGATCCACTAAAGCACCCTGTCTTCTCTCCTGGTGAGTTTTAGAAAAAATACTTGAATCTACTCAGTATGAGCACTCTGTTTGCAACAACACAAAATGCTTAATGAAAGAACAAGAAAAAAAAAAAAAAAAAGATGACAACTCTCTCCCATAATTCTAAAATGCTTTTACCATAAATAAATGACTTTTGTGTTTGATTTATATTGACAAGCTGGGGTTACTCCCTAAAAATTCAAACAAAAACAAACAAATGAAATGGTTTATCAGAGGGTATAAGGTATATAATTTTCGATGTTCCACAAATCCATATAAAATTGTGTAAGTACAGACTTGGCTTTGGCTTCGTGCACAGCGGCTATGTCTGATCCATTTTTTTTGTCTGTGTTTAACTATGTGCAATGCAAACCCTTTAAAAATAACATTAAAAGCGGATTAATACTTCATAATAGTTTGACATACACTAAGATTTCACCATACAACAAAATTATGTTTATTTTGCGGAACACGAAAACCTTAAAAAATAAAATAAAATAAAAAAACATGTTTGAGACTTTAAAAGGGTCAAAGTGCTGTATGATGACCATCTGACAACTTTAACGATCAACGACAGCTCTGCTGATGACTACAGGATTGTCATGATGGTTGTTCAAAAATAGCTATCGTATTGTTAACGTCGTCCTCATTTTAATGCGTCTGGATTCAGAACACTCTTCCAAATTCTCCATATTCCAGACTACACATATTCTCTGTCTTATTTGTCATTTCATTACCATCTACTGTTAGCATAATCTAGAAGTTTCTTTCAACTGAGCCAGAAGGAAAACTGGCTGTTTTCTGTTTTCAGAATACATTTCTTTGAATTAACAAGATGATTGGAGATAAATCAGCTTAGAAACAACTCTTCTATATATACTTTAAAACAGCCTAAAGACCACCCTGGCTCAAGCAAAAGCAGTACCACAAACATAATTGACAACCCAGAGCACTTTGGTTGAGTTTTTGGGTGCTTCATTACCATAGATTCTCCCAATCAAACAAAGTGTTTTGTGTAAATGGAAGTAGAATATTACACAACATAATAGAGGAGTTTAAACAGAGATGAAATTGTGAAAGATGGACCATAATCACATAAGCATTAGCATGTCCATGATTACCATTTCAGTAGATTATTTATAGTAAAATGATGCTGTGGCAATAGGTCATTAAAAAGAGCCCTGTAAGCAAAGACTCTATATAACAATGATAATAATGTCTCACTGATATCCAAGGAGAGAGAGCGAAGATGGCCAGAGTCAACTGGGCCCGCTCCAATTTTAGAACCTCAAAAGAACATTAGCTTAAAAGACCAGCACCCATCTTCTCTCTATTGAAAACCAACAAGTCTAGTGGGTCTGTAGACAAAACCAGTTTGAATTCATTGTTTAGCTGGAGCTGCTTGCTGGTGATGGGGTAGAAGACTGGCTGGCAACACCAGTAGACCCCGTACCAGATCCATTGCTGACCAACGATGCTTGCTGACCAAAGTTAGTGGTTCTCAGAGTGGCAAGATGTCGAGCTGAGAAGACATGGTCACGTGCTGCAGCCCTGGATTCGAATTCAACCCCACAGGCCTCGCACTTGCCTCTCAGAGTCTCACGGCCTGTTGTCTGGCCGATGGTATATGATAGAGTTGGTTCCATAACTGTCAGTTGTACAGGTTTGGGCAGGATGGGACGGTTGGCTCGGAGAGCATTATATTGTAGGTAGCTACCCGAGCTGACGTCTACCTTCTTAGAAGGGTCACTGGGATTAGGAGACTGTGTGAAAAGACGTAAAAAATGACAACGTTAGTGTCATTTCATTAAAATAAAAAGTAAAAAATGTTAAGCAATATTAATAAAAATAAAGAGAATTGGTGACGCACAAGTGACGCAGTAGAGACGAAAATGTGGAATAAAGTCGTTATTTTTGTTTTCTTTGCGCAAAAAAAGTATTCTCGTAGCATTGTAACTTTACAGTTGAACCACCGATGACTACTTTGTCGATCATCTTGGTACTTTTCTGGACCTTGAACGTGGTAGTTACCTTGCTGTCTATGGGAGGGTCAGAGAGCCCTCAGATTCCATCAAAAATATCTTAAATTGTGTTCCGAAGATGAACGAAGGTCTTACGGGTTTGGAACAACACGAGGGCGAGTAATTAATTTTCAGAATTTTCATTTTTGGCTGAACTAACCCTTTAACTTCTATTCTTACAATCTTTTTTACTTAATTCATGTAAAAAAAAAAATCTAAAATACTCGTTCTGAATCATTTTACACCATGTCAAAGAGAGTAATAGAATTTTAATTAAAGATGACTCTTTATTAGTGCCATTTTATCTTATCTCGTCTACTGCATCTGGCACATATCTTGTGTTGCCATGACATTAGAAAACATCTGAAGACCTGGAAGGCCAATGACATTATAGCAAAATACTAAAATTTGGCACGAAAGCAGCTGCTTTGCAGTATTAAATAAAATGTCCTCACCGTTTTCTCTTGCTGAAGCCTCCAGCGTTTCTCCTTGGCACGTGTATTTT